TAACAGACAAAACAAAACACGGTGAAAACATAACCTCATTGGCAGAGGTAATAATAGAAAGACCTTACAGAGAATTCTAAGCACAGGTCTCACGCTCAATGTCAAAGGAAAAAGTAAGGATCGGCCACAAACTTGGACGTGTACTCAGCTGAAGACCTGAACCGAGACTGAACGTGAGGGTCAAGATCTTCTTTTGGACAACAACCAGTATTCTTTAAAGAGTACTAGTACCTTTTATGGTAACCAGAAGTTTAACCTTCTGATCTAACGTCAAAACAGACTTGAGAAGAAGACCAGACCATGGGTTTGCCATTTCATTATTCTATTACCTTGTTTTGTTTGTTTTCTACATTTTTTGTTAGTTTATATTAATATTGCTTAAATATTTTTTGGAGAGAAAAAAAAAAAAAAGAACAGGGTGGCATCCTGATTAGAAATAATAAAAAAATCTTAATAATAACTTCACAAATTGACGTATCGTACATAGGCACATCTGAAGCGTGTTCACTACTATTCTGTATATTTGTTTTTTGAACTGACTTGTAAGTGTACTATGTTTTTAATTGTGAAGCGCATTGGGTGTGAAAGGCGCTATATAAATAAACTTTACTTACTTGCTTACTTACTTATAATGTGCTTTGTATCAGCCTGATGGAGACTTTAAACCAAACGAACAGCAGGTGGAGCTATTACATTTCAGGCCAATTCTAGACTGGACTCACATCATATCTAATCATGTGAAAAAGGATCTTTGGCAGATGTGTTCCTCTGCCTGGGAACACATTTCTATGATTTATCTTGGGGCATATAATATCAGGTGTCACTGTTCTCAGTTTCAGCTCCACCACTTCCTCCGAGTTGCCAGGTAGAAGAAGGTATTTGCTGAAAACCATGCAGACTCTGACTCAAAGCTCCACTGTTGGATAAGCTGCACACACCAGAAAGAGTAAACCACACCCAGCTCTATGCCACTAACTCACTGCAGAATTTTACTTGCACTTCTGACAAAATACAGAATACATTGATTGGAAGAGGCCTTAGTTAATGCCTTTAAGGGGTTTAATCATCCCTCAACAATCCGATAATTAATCATTAGATAATGAGTTTTCTGTGACGTTTTTTAATGCAAAAGGATATCCAAGGCTTGCCTTTTTTAAGCAGCTGTTTGGGAGATGGTCTGTTTTTATTCAATCAATCAATCAATGTTTATTTCTATAGCACAGTTCATACAGAATGCAACCCAAAGTGCTTCACTGTTTTTCTGCACTTTTATTGTATTTTCTATTTTGTGTTTTCTCTGTTTTTTCATGTATTCATACTGGTGCTTCGTCCGCAAATGAAGTTCCTCAAGTATAAATAAAGTTGCTTGAATTTGAATAGAATTTGAACCAATGACAATCATGCACCACTAGATGTAGCTGTAAGTTTATCCCTCCAATGACCAGGAAACTAATGCAGCAACAGGTGGAAAGCAAACAAACACACCCTCAGCCTACACAGGGAGGTTCCAGTGATTATCAAGTCTTAAAATACTTAGTTTACCAAGAACTGTGAAGAAAAATGTACTAATACTGGTCAGGTGAATGTGGAGTTATTCAAGTCAGTAGTAGTAGAAATGAAACAACCTTGTACTTTGTGGTTACTAATAATGATAATCAAATAGGTGTAGCACATTCACACTCTAGGAAAGTTGGATTGAATTGATAAAGTTAAGTCAAGCTACATTTCCATAATCTGTCATGTTGGAGTAAAGGGAGAAAGACAGATAAGTGCAAGAATATAGTTGCACTTAAACTCTAAATTATCAATTAATAATCAATCAAGTGGAAAAAGTTGCTTATTGTTAACTTTATCATTTAAACCCAACACTTCTTGAGAGTGCAGTATTGGCATGCTATACTGAAAGATCAAGTACAGCCATGATCTTGCGGCAACTGTACAACACTGTATTATTGTATTGTGCATTTTTACATATTTTTATATTTGCTCAATACAACTTGTGCTTGTGTGTAATTTCCTGAGTCAAATGTGTCCATGAGATTGCTCCATACAGGAACAGCAACTGACCAGCTTGTTCCTGTTACAACTCATTTCCATGTCCACCGTCTCACTGTTGTGTTGTTGCATTGACTTGTGTTTCAACAATGAAAGCAATGTCTGCAAACAGCATTCCTTCGTGCATACCAGAGGATTAGTAAAGATGTATTCGGAGGTATTGTCAAAACAAGTCACTGATCCAGAGACAGGAGGAAGAGGTGGAGCCTTGATAAGTAGATATTCTGCATGTTTATTACTTTAGCATGATGGAGACTAGACTTTGGCTGCAGTATAGTGTGGGAAAAGGGAAGTATTTCTGCTGATTGCAGTGAAATTAATGAAGATTGTGATACCTGCAATAACCGCCCTGGTGTTGACAGGCCATGTTTCTCATTCACATCGGACTCTTTTTCAGGTTGATAGTGATGAACTTACAAGTTCCAACCACAGATATGTAGGAAGTGAAACCTCACGTCACTCACCTAAAAGCCACTTAACCTCACACCCCGGGTCTGCATGATGAGACCTGGCAGAGAGCAGATCAGTTATTAAGGAAAACAGACACAAATGTACAAAAATGTTCAATAAATATCAGAAAAGCACAATGCTGCATGTGTGTGATATTTACACTGAAGTCAAACCTCACTTGCAACAACGTTGAGTTTCTGTGAAGCTACTATATCAAAAGAATTATCAGTGGTATATGTCATGTTCAGAAAGTTGCTGTTTTTTCAGATACACATTTTTGAAAGATGTCATTCAATAATTTAAGATAAAGGAAGAGGAAGACCGAGAGCTACTATGAACTTCCTCTAATTCTGTGCAGTGTGCAAAGGGCGCACTTAGTCATGACATGGCCTTAACTGCAAGAAATACATAACCTGAGCAGAAGTCCATTCCAGAGCTAGAATCTAAACAGAGATAAATAAGATAAAAGTTAACTTACCTATCAGGTGTGGAGGCGCTAAATTTTCTATTAATGTATTATTGTGTTTTGTCAGACAACTTTGGAGAGGCATCTGCACAAGAGTCCACTGATTCCTTTTGCAAGGTTCCCTTTAAGTTCACACGCCCTCTCTTCTCCATAGAGAGCTGTTTGCAGTGTTAACTTCATTATTCCTAGTCGCAATGAGCCCTGCAGGTTGCAGACTTGCCTATAGTTTGACCAAATGCCACGCCCACTGGGCTCGTCCCCGAAGCAGAACTCCTGAGCTCGCCAGCCTCCTGCAAACACGCTGATGCACCACAGTCTAGTGCACAACAGTCTATGGCCCTGTGTCTCAATACCCACACTGCATCCTACACTCCTCTACGAAGTCTGCATTTGTTTGAAGTGCACGCAGGTTACAAGAGTGCAAAAAAGGCGGAATTGGGACAGTGCACACCGAGTGAAGGTTACGTCATCGACTTAAAAAAATTAAAGGTTATTTTGTCAGACCTTGTGGGAAATAAAAGTAGTAGTTAATGAGTTGCTCCACACACGTTAAAATAAATGTATATTGGTTATTCGTCATTTGAGATAGTTACCCACACTTTACAGCTATTATCTGTTAAGTTTTTATGCATCCTACGTTTATTGTACTAAGTATAAAGTTTAAATTGAGTGTTATTTGAACGCTTGT